AGGACGGCTATTACTCTGTCCTCCTCTCTCCTTCTCTGTCCTCCTCTCTCCTCCTCTCTCCTCCTCTGTCCTCTCTCCTCCTCCCTCCTCCTCTCTCCTCCTCCTTCTAACCCTGTCCCGGTCGTCTCTCAGGACTTCGGGGACTACCAGGACGGCTATTACTCTGTCCTCCTCTCTCCTTCTCTCTCCTCCTCTCTCCTCCTCTCTCCTCCTCTGTCCTCTCTCCTCCTCCCCCCTCCTCTCTCCTCCTCCTTCTAACCCTGTCCCGGTCGTCTCTCAGGACTTCGGGGACTACCAGGACGGTTATTACTCAGTCCAGACCACAGAAGGAGAGCAGATAGCTCAGCTGATCGCCGGTTACATCGACATCATCCTGAAGAAGGTCAGTAGAAGGAGGAGCTTTCCTCATCAGTAACGCGTCGCTGAGCTTCTGCTTCAACCTGCTGCTTTCATCACAATCCAGAAAAAAAGTAAGGACCACTTTGGGCTGGAGGGAGACGAGGAGTCGACCATGCTGGAGGACTCCGTCTCTCCTAAGAAGTAGGTCTTGGTTCAATCATCATTCAGCTGTACTGTATCAGGGCTATCTGAGGCTGGGACTTTGTTCATTAATGTAATGTTGATAAATCAGTTAATAACAGCAAACCTTTGGATATATTGTTACATCAGAGTGGATTTAATTATTATCGTACATTTAGAGGAGAAAACTAGTAATTTATGAAATGATGGAAAATAAAAACCCACAGGAAGAACTTTAGTTTGAGTTTCCTTCATCCTCGATGTGATTTTCTGGTGACCTTTAACCCGTCTCCCACTCTGCCTTATGGGAGCGCTCCTTCAGGCAGAGCCTCCTGCTGTCCTCAGCTTAAAGCCACGGCTCCTCTGTCTCCAGGTCCACCGTCCTGCAGCAGCAGTTCAACAAGATGGGCAAGGTGGAGACCGGCTCGGTTGCCCTGCCAGCCATCATGCGCTCTGGAGCCGGAGGTCCAGAGAGTTTCCAGATGGGTTCCATGCCCCAAGCCAAGCAGCACATCACCAGCGGCCAGATGCACAGGGGACACATGCCTCCTCTGGTAAAACCAAAGCAGCCGTGTTAGCTCTGCTGGTTCCACAGATGGGAGCAGTAAACAGCTGGAACCATGATCTGCTTCCATGATCTGCTTTAAGCTCCATTTACCTGATTAGAGTCTAGATCTCTGAGGACTTTTCACACAAGGCTTCCTAACTGTTCAGTCGTAATAATGATTATTTAGCCCAACATGTGCTGCACTGCATCAGCATCATCTAGTCTAACGGTCCAAGACCAGAATCGCTCTCTCTACCAGGGCTGCAGGAACACAGTGACGGTGTTTGCTTCTCTGGTCGAGGAACGTTCATAGGTCAAACTGAGATCCCAATCCTCTGATCCCAGCAGTTCCAGAGAGCTCTGCAAAGTCCAGACAGAGGTCCCAGGAAATGAGATGGTTCCACTGAGTTTTATCTCTTGTTTCCACAGACGTCGGCACAGCAGGCCCTAACTGGAACCATCAACTCCAGCATGCAGGCCGTGCAGGCGGCCCAGGCCTCCCTGGATGACTTTGATACCCTGCCTCCGTTAGGAACAGATCCTGTGAGTTTTACTCTGAGACGATCCAGACGGCTTCAGAAACACCTGAACAGGATCTCTGTTTTTTAGAACAGGTCAAATTATCCAGAACTAAAGCTGCTGTCAGATGTCGTTTCCTCTGAACCAGAAATGTTCATCATTATTAGGCTTATAGCTGCCAAAAAGTATTTTCTTTATTTGAATTAGCAGTTTAATGTAGTTTCTGTTGTTCAATGTGGAGAAGCTAAGCTGCTCTACGTGTTCCTGATGTGACATGTTGCCTTTTTCCTGCATTATGTTCCTCTGCTGAAAGGCATCCCAAGCCTGGCGCAAAAACAAGATGGACGAGTCCAAGCATGAGATCCATTCCCAGGTGGATGCCATCACAGCAGGCACAGCCTCCATGGTCAACCTCACTGCAGGTAGAGAATGACCAAATATTCAGTTTCACCTTGTTCTATGGGGTCAGGATCATTTAATTAGTTTCAATAATTTAACCCATATTCAGTCACCCTAAATATTACCATACCCAGCGTCTATCTAACCGTTACCAACCCCTACCGTTACCAGCCCATTACTAGCCCCTACCTAACCATTACTAGCCCTTATCTAACCTTTATCATTCCCTACCTAACTGTTGCCATCCCCTAGCTAACCATTATGTCCCCTTCCTAACCGTTAGTAGCCACTATCTAACCATTACAAGCCCCTACCTAACAGTTATCAGCCCCTGTATAACCATTACCAGCCCCTATCTAACCATTACCAGGCCCTACCTAAACGTTACTTCCCCCTACCTTACTGTTACCCCCCCTTACCTAACCTTTACTAGCCCCCGTCTAACCATTACCAGCCCCTATATAACAATTTTCAGTGCCCACCTAACCATTACTAGCCCCTATCTAACCATTACCTAGCCCCTAGCTAATCGTTACCAGCCCCTAGCTAATCGTTACCACCCCCTACCTTACTGTTACCCCCCCTTACCTAACCTTTACTAGCCCCTAGCTAACCATTACCAGCCCCTAGCTAACCATTACCAGCCCCTAGCT